ATGGACTCTCTGATTTCGTCACGCATGAATTGACACAGGTAGTGCTCACTCCGTCCGGCAGCCTTACCGTCGAATTGACACAGGTAGTGCTCACTCCGTCCGGCAGCCTTACCGTCGAATTGACACAGGTAGTGCTCACTCCGTCCGGCAGCCTTACCGTCGAATTCCTCCTTACCTCCAGGAGAAAGTGAAAAAACAAACGGGCTCGTCCGCCTAGGAGTGCTCGTGGAAGAGAACGGCTCGTAGGCCTCGCCTATCTGTGTAGTAAGCAAGAGTTCCGTGAAGGCGAGGGTGGTATGTGATATACGGCGTCTCAAAACTGTAACAGCCCTTCCTGCGTACCCCATTCCTAAGATAGCGGACGTCATAGTACTCAAGGAGTCCACTCTTTTCACAACTATGAACATGAACATAACATATTATCACGTCAAAATAAACCCTGAGCACAAGCACAAGGCCACCATTACGACTCCGTCGAAAAACTACTTAATCATTCGGTTGTGTTTCGGTCTGAGCGAGGCTAGTTTTACTTGTACCAGACTGCCGAATGTTGTCTTAGGTGACATCACTCCCGACAAGTGTCTGTGCATGATTGAAATTCTATACGCAGTGCTATCACGCACGGTGGTGGTCTGACATTGAACCTGGCGACATGCGTGTTCTGCCAGCCTAAGGTCACGTTCCTAGGCCAAATGGCATCCAGCGGGGGCCTGGCATGAGATCCATTCAAGGTGCAGGCAATGATAGCCTGGCCAGCTTTGAAGACGGCCAGCCCAATGTCCAATTGTCTGGGTCTAAGCAACTACTTCAAAGCATTGATCTCAGGCTTTGCTGTTATTTGCGTCTCTCTTCCGTCTCTGCAAACGGGACGTCGGGTTCAAGTGGTCTGCCAAGTGTCAGCTGGCTTTCGACAGGCTAAAGCAGGCCCTGGCAGAGACTCCCGTGCTCAACCCGCCCTCGTTTGACGACAGTGCGGGCCTCTTTATCCTCGAGTGAGATGCATCTGGCTCGGCTATGGGTACCGTGTTGCTGCACATGAGCAAACCAAATGACCAGAGGGTGAAAGGCTATTGTCTGCGGCAGTAAAAAGCTATTCAATGCTCAGCGCAACTACTCCGCCACAAAGAGAGAACTCTAAGCAGGCGTCGTGTTTGTCGTTCACTTCAAACAACATCTCTTGGGAAGAAAGCTTTGACTACGAACTGATTATTCTAGTTTTCGGTGACTATTTCGCAGTCCTGCGGGCGTCCAAGCCAGGTGGACAGAGACCCTGTCTACCTTTAAATTAGAGTTCAGTACAAACGCAGATCGGGGAACTGCTCGACCGACACCCTGAGTCGCAAACGGGCGCAAAGACTCAGGCCGAGCCGGCCTTATCCGTGCAGAACAGCAGGCTGACACAGCCATTTCCGAACTGACGAAGCACTTATCTCGGGGCACCAAGCGACAAAGCCGACAGTTCCAACACATCGCGCGGTTGCTGCGCTAGTGGGCACGCCTCCGCCTGTTGCATGTCGTTTTGTTCCGCACGTGCCAGCTCCGTTCGAGATCAGATGATGAACTTCGCGTTGTCCAAACTGTATCACTCACGATGTTTGTGCTTGAATCACTACACGGTAGTGCCTCAGGCGGATATTTCAGGCCAGAAAAGGTTTTGGCTGAATGCCGTTTCAGTTTATTTCGAGTGCGTATGGAGAACGATGTAAAAGGCTTTTGTCAACAGTGCCGCCGTTGTGCGGGTAGGAATGCGCCGGTGCCGGCCCCTAGAGCTGCATGAGTGGCTTGCATCCGTTTTAGCCAATCCGAGGTAGTAGGTTTAGACATTCTCGCGAATCTGCCGGTCACCCCTTCGGGAAGCAAACACCAGTTAGTTGCAGTTGATTTCTTCGCAAAGTGGGGAAAGCCTTTCCTTTAAAGGATGTGTCGGCTGTCAGCGTATCACGGGTCCTAGTTGACCAGTTAATAGCTCGCTGTGGCTGCCCAGTACGACTGCACTTCGACCGGGGTAGGTGTTTCGTGAGCGAAGTGTTAGCGCTCACGCCTAAGCGCCAGGGTATCAATAAGTCGACGATTTCCAGCGCTCAGCCTAGTGGTAATGGCATTGCATTAAGAGCCATCAGGACGGCCATTTCAGTGGTTGCTAAATTTCTCCATGACAATTCGCACGACTGCTGGGATGAGCACATTCCGCTGCTTATGTTAGCGTATCGCGCTCAAGCGAGAAAGGCTATGAGGTTTTCACCGCACAAACTCCTATAAGCCCGGAAACCAAGGCTCCCTGCCGAGAAAGAGCTCGAACTTCCCCCAGCAGGAACCGGTCAAGCAGTACTGTTCAGTACTTTGACCGCCTGCTTCACTTCGTTACTTTGTCATTCACATGAGGCTCCAGGTACCATCCAGCCCCCCGTGAGGACTATGCCGGAATGTATATATATATATATATATATATATATATATATATATATATATATATATATGTGTGTGTGTGTGTGTGTGTGTGTGTGCACATGCATGCATATATACATAAATACATATATTACAGCGATTCGGGAGCAGGTTTTCTCTGACACAATACTGGTTGTACACCACAGCATATTCAGTGTTCATGTTCTTGATCGTTTTCTGAAGGCTTCGTATTGTGCGCTTGTTGTTTTCTGTGTGTGATAGAGAATGTTGCCGAGTTGATCTATTTGTTCAACGTTTCGAACAGTTCTGTGATCATTTTTAGGACAACTATTACATTTTAAACATGCAGTTGCAATCACAGCACATAGACATAAGTTCGGTTTTATTGAATTGCCATAAAACACATCGTCGAGACACCCGAAGAAAAGACTTTCAAGTTGCATCCCCCAATGCCAGACATACTTTCACCAATCAAGTCAAAGGTTGCGACTCTGGTAAGTTTTCTTTACGGGATGGGTTTATGTCCTTTCAGTCGCGCGCAGAGAGGTAGCTGTCTGGGTCGTTTGTATGCTGATGACGGGTGCCATGTCTCCGATGTATAATTTTTAAAGTCTGACGAGGCGTCTTTGGTCTGCGGTGTGCGCAGCTATGGTAGTGTCCATGACTAACGGTTTTCTGGTGAGGGGGGTGTTGTGGTGTGTCCGCGCGTTTTTTTCAGTGCCCCCTCCCACAAGTGCAGGGTTAAACGTCGGCTGAGACTTGTTGCAGTCAGACCAATGTAATTTACTTTGCGTGTTTTATAATCCTCGGCAGTACATTGGGAACAGTAGTCTACATTTGTCTGCTTCAACTTATCTTTGTTTTGGTTGAGGCTATTTTTGATCATTAGGGAGTTTTTGAACTTTTGTAGTATATCAAAAATGTCAGTTTTTTTTTGTTGGTCAGTGGGGGCGTAGTGTTTGAGGACAATGCCATGCAATGCTTTCTATGTCAGCAATGCATACTATCAGTTTTCCAAGATCGGGTCATAGTATTTCTGTAGACAAGTTTCCACGTTTCATCACCATTTCGAGAGGCATTCTTTTATTTGTCTGCTTTGAGCAATTGATCGGGTCAGGATTTCATGACATTGTCAGTAAATGTTTATGTAACCGTCATTGGTAAGTATCTGGCGCAGTCCGTCTACCTCCCTATACAAAACGTCCTACGAAAAACCGCTTTCCAAAACCCTGCGGATTGACGCATGACGACCCTTTTATGTATATATATATATATATATATATATATATATATATATATATATATATGTACATATATATATATATATATGTACATATATATATATATATATATATATCTCTCTCTCTCTCTCTCTCTCTCTCTCTCTCTCTCTCTCTCTCTCTCTCTCTCTCTCTCTCTCTCTCTCTCTCTCTCTCTCTCTCTCTCCCTCTCTCTGGACAGTCCCATTGCCACTCATACATTTACCCTCGATGGTGGCCTTTCTGTTAGCAGCAGTCTGAAATGTATTTTGAGAAGTAAATCAGGTCTAGACGGGACAGTCTTCGACAGTAGAATTCACGCCTGACACGTCTGGACACAAAGCTGCACTTGTAGTGATTCCAATAATCCATAGGTACGAATTTTCTATGAAAATGCGCGAGCCCAGATTCCGGGATTCGTTCTGTGGTCAGGATATTTGGCACAGACATACTTGCCACACAGTGCGTTCAGATTGTTCTTAAAGCGTTCATATCGCAGAGTTCACGGAAACGCGGAGGGTCCATTGGAGCGCCACGAGTCCTCCAAGCAGTGATGCGGTTGGGGCCTGCGGAGATGTCTTGTGAACCAGCCATCAACAAATAAGCGGGAACATAAAATGGTAAGGGTTTCTGGACGATCCGTATCCCCGGCAGCGCGGTAGATCCGTTGTCTGTCCGAGACGAACGTACAACTCACAGACGTTGGGAGACAACGAAGACGGTTGCAGAACTGAACACGCCCGGCGGCCACTCACGCGCGCCCCAATGCAGTCAAAGTACTCCCGAAGCAGCCCCAGGCCGACTGCAAATTGAAATGAATTGCCGCTCACAGATCACCTCAGGCAGCGCGCTGGAAGTGGCTGAATAGCCCAACTCAACGGCCAAACATTGATCAAACCTTGATTAACCATGGGAGGGCCACTGTTCTCCGTGAACGCCAGAGAAACTACGGACGCGTGCATCCACGAGTTTACTACTAAACGACGTGATGCGCCCGACAGATGAGATTGTGCACCATACCGCGGAGGTGAAGACAAAGCGTGGTGTCGGATGCATGCATGCTGCAGCGGCACGCCACGCCACCTGCACGTCTCGAGGCCGATGCGACGCACGGGGGCCTCAGTGGGCCGCGGGAACAAAATGACGCCGGGCGAACATTCTCAAGCGCGTCGCCAGCATGTTGTCTCTTCGATACGTAAGTCCAGCAGCGATGTGCCGCCAATTAGAGTTCAAGCTCCGGTTCTGACCAGCATGTGCACCCGGTAGTTTGTGCTGAGTCCTGGTCACGTCCGTTCCTGGGCGGGGCTACAGATCATTGGTAGAAGATGCGATAGCACTGCTGCAGTCTTGATTTATGTTAGACATATCAACGGATCCAATCATTCCGCCCAGCGCACGCCACCACAATGGTTTCTCTTACACAACATACATACACAAGCAACGGGAAAATACTGCACTGTCGCACGATCGTTGGAACAGATGGAAGTTCTGGCTCATTCAGAAGCTAGGGTAGATGAAAAGCAGCGACAAAAATCGCCCCATTATGACTCATCTCAGGCCCGCCCATCCCAGACCCATCGGCCGGAGGTCCCATACGTCCAAAGGCAGGCTGTTCACTGGCACACTACCGTTGGCAGACCAGTTCCGCGTCAGCGCGCTAGACTGCTGTCGGCTCCCGGACACCGGTCCGCCCCACGGCCGCGCCCGAGTCTGCCCGCCCTCGTCCCACTGCCGGTGGGGGCGGCGCCGTCAGAGCGGCCTCCAGTCGGCCAGGGCGGCGGCCGGCGCGTGCGCGGGCTTCCGCTCGGCGCGCAGGTCGAGCGCCGCGCTGGCCTCAGTCACACCCATCAGCCGGTTCAGGGCGTCCCTCGCAGCCAACTCGGACGCCTCGTCCATCGACTCCCCCGGTGCTGGAACGGGCCGCCACCTGTCACGCCGGGCCAACGCCACCACCAGCCGCCACTAACGCCTGGGGTCCAGCCATGGTCATCAGACGGAGACCATAGCCGCTTGATGGTGTTGAATGCGTCAAGCACCCAGTGATCCTATTAAGAATGGTCCGTGTTTACGATAACTGTCCCTTGCATCGCGTTGACTAGACCCTTCATACGGTAAAGCATTTCATCTACGACGCCTGTCAGCTTAGGTGAAGTGCACCATTTCTCCTACACAATACAATCGACAGTTCACGTTCCTTTCTGATCACAAACACACAATGGCCAGACGCTAAGCCCCGTCGAGCCCCTTTGCCTTCCTCTCACCAACGGCCACCACACTACCGAAACAACTGCAATGACGCGTCCTCAAACAGGGAGCTCACTTAAAGAACACAAGTTCACCGGGCTAGACGGTGCGAGGGAACACATCGCTGCCGACCGTCTGCACCACGCGGCCACATCACCGAGACCGGCGCCACTCACGCATCACTCACCGGAACCCATCAGCTGCCGGTCCGAGTAGACGCCGACCAGGTAGGCGGCCAGCAGGGACGAGGGTCCGGCCGAGCGGAGCAGGCGCGACTCCGGCGGACCGCGGCCACACCGGCGCAGCGTGTCACCCAGCACGGACAGCGGCTCCTGCGGGACACAGTCAGACACGGTGGACAGCGGATCCGGCGGGGCATAGTCAGACATGGTGGACAGCGGATCCCGCGGGGCACAGTCAGACACGGTGGACAGAGGCTCCTGCGGGGCACAGTCAGACACGGTGGACAGCGGATCCTGCGGGGCACAGTCAGACACGGCGGACAGTGGCTCCTGCGGGGCACAGTCAGACATGGTGGACAGCAGGTGCTGCAGGGCACAGTCAGACACGGCGGACAGCGGCTCCTGCTGGGCACAGGCAGACATGGTGGACAGCGGATCCTGCGGGGCACAGTCAGACACGGTGGACGGTGGGTGTCGCCACGCATGGCCCGACAGCCGCGTCCCGCACCGCAATGCCAGACACCATCATTACCAGATTCGGAGACAAACGACTAGACAAGGCAGATGTGAGGACCAGCGATACACGACGGTGAATATATCGCCACTGGAGATGGGGGAGAAGGGGCGGAACACGTGGCCCGGCACTATTGATTGCCTCATATCTCCGTGCAAGTGCTTGTGTTCCATGCCCCTTCTCAAGGAGCGCATCCATTCTTAGCAACAATGTTTAAACTCCACTTCCAAGCAGCTTTTCATCTTCAACATTACCGGTGAAAGCGGCCGCGTATGACATCGTCTAAATCAAACACCTAGGGACAGCCAGTGACACATCATCCTGCAATACGCGCTGCTGCCTTTCGCCGCTCTATCCATAAGCGCGACGTCGAGCTGAGAGCCGGCACAAAGCGCGGCGTACAGCCCGCCCACCGGTCGGCTCGCAGCCATACCTCGATCTCCCAGGCGGTGTTGATGTCGGCCGCTGCCAGCCGGGCGATGACGAAGTCGCGCACGAACAGGTGGGCGCGCTGCTCGCCGGCCGAGTTAGCCAGTGCCGCCAGCCAGGCGCACAGGCAGCGCACCAGGGCCTCCTCCGACGGCGGGTACTCCTGCGGCGCGGTGAGGGCGGTCAGATGGCACAGATACGCGACGCGGTGGCGGACGGGAGGACGGTCAGATGGCACAGACACATGACCCGGGGTGAGTGGGAAGGCGGTCAGGGTGCATACCGACGCCGACAGCAGAGGGCGAAAGACGGCGCAGTGCACGATCCGCTTCGATTCGAGGCGTGCTGGCCTGTGGTTCATGCGCGGTTGAATTAGACCCATTTGCCATCTCCCACTATGGATGAAATTAACTCAATTTGGCATCATTTATTCCCAGAGCGAATTCGCTGTCATTTTCTGTTCGCAACAAACGTTAGGTTTGGGTAATCAATTACTCTTGGTGCCTCTCAATCGAATACACTAAGTAGCAGCTGGTCACATACCTCGGAAAGGACGATGTCCCTCAGCCCAATGCCAGACGCCAAGTCATGGAGCTGGCTGCGTGACGTCAGATATGACGTCACGGCCTGTACACCCTCTTCAGGCACGCGCGGCAATGCAGCACGCAGCCAGCCGGCAACATATGACGTCATCAGCTCCCGGCCGCGAACTGCCAACGCGCTGTTGTCCTCAGTTGACTCAGCCTGCAGGACATGAGAGCCAAAGGCCATCAATAATCCCGTGAAAGGGGTAACATGAGACTGGCGAGCGCCATGAGCAGCACCGTTGATAGAATACGTAACGAGCTCTCATACACAGCACGCCGGTCTTTCGCATAGGCGTACATTACTTAACACCCGCACACCAACTGTCAAACTCGGTGCAAACATTTGAGCGTTTCGGCGTAGAAGAGGAATGATTTTGAACATCAACCAATTGCATGTGACACAATAATAATGTCCATGTCACATTCTCTCTTAGGGTGCTGGTAATGAAGCAGTTAAGCTACGCGTCTGGGAAACCGGAACTACGGGGTCTGCACGGTGTCCACCCTTCCAGCCAGGGTGAGAGGCAGGCGACGCCATATAGCCTCAGCAGCTGAGCAGCCGATGACGACGATGCCATGTCACGTTCTCAATGTGGATTAGCACCTAATACCCATCAACTGCCACGATAAATCGATGGGTGTTCAATGCTATCGCCGCAAGGACAATCCAACAGGGCAAATACCGCAGCCACCGCCTGTTCCCAAGACTGGTGCCTGCCTCTGCGCCGCCGAGAGCGCACCTGACCATCCCGACCCTCACATGTACTCGCGCCGCCAGCCCCGGCCGAACAACAGTGGCGGCCGGCAGCGTCCGAAGCCGTACCTCTGGGTCGGGCAGGCCGAGCCGCTCGCGCTCCAGCCGCCTCTGCAGCACGAATGAGCGCTCGGTGAGCGCGCGCCGCACGGCCGCCTCGTCCACCGTCTCGCCCAGCCGGGCAGAGAACGCGTGCAACTCGGCCGGGTAGTTCCTGGCGGGCAGCAGCCGCGCGGTCGGCGAAGGGGCATGGGGCGGCTTACGTGAACAAAGGCTGGCCCACAGGTGAGCAGTGCTTCGGCAGGGACACAGGAGAGAGAGGCAAGCATGCTAGTGGCCAGCCTCGTAGATGCATTCCCTGTTTATTGCAGAGAACTAAGATTGAATGGCATGCCAACAGCGTGTCGATCGTTATGCATTGCACTCTTGAAGCTATGAGCAATGCTCAAGATCACAGCCATGTTCTGATAGTGGTAGGTGGACAGCGGTTAGAGCAATACAAAACAAAAAAAACACGACGCTGAGCGGCGTGAATGCACTCTGCACTTCAAAGGAAAAGATCGTGTATAATGGGTACAGGGATGCAATTCTCGCACACCGCTTCCTTGTCAAAGGGCCGCCTGCTGCCATCAGTGAGGGTAAAACACTTAGTGCTTAAAATGAACAAATAGGTTGTTTTAAACTAGGCCAACGTGATTTGGCGTGTGTATGTCATATGTTACATCGACTGGAGTCACACATCGATCCACGAATAGAAGTGTAAATGAAATGAGATAAATGAAAATGGGAAAAGGAAATAAAATGAGATTGAAGTACGCGAGACGAACTGAGTGAAATCGGGCACGAAAGTGGAAAGAATTGCCGGCATTACCAAGAACCATCGCTTACCATTCCACGAACGACGATCTCGGATGAGGACCAGTGTCTCCATATTTCCTCTTTCTAGCAGCCACAGCTGAAAGAGTAGCCTTCACGTGCTTTGGTAGAAATGTCCGTTTCCCTGTAAACAAGACATTTCCATCCCATAAGAACAAAATATCACGCTTCCTTTGAAGCGGTCGACACGGAAAAACCAACATCGAGCATACCATTTAGGCTACCATCCGGTAATTTCAGACGTACCGTTTTGATTCGAAATCTGCTGTATTTTTCCTCAAAATCTCTTTGATGTGAATTTGACACGACTGTCCCATCCACCCGGTTTTGCCGCAATATTTCATGATCCGTATCCTCTTGTCCATGTTTCATATCCTCTAACCCAGGACAGCTTCCTCGCTCTCGCCCCTTCCTGCGGGTTAGGGCGGGTAGCCGGGCATGATCCTCAGGCCGGTTGCATACGTGACGAACCAGAGCAAAAATTCTCAACAACTTTCACAGAGCAAACCTTTATGCAATATATACTCCCCCTCACATGTCAAGTTGGATCAGGGGAGGTCAGAGATCTAACACCTTAAAATTTCATGACAACTAGAAAGGAGGGCCTGGTGCACACATAGCTAAGAATGTGTCACGTGACATCGTTTCCCCTCACTTTCACCGTAAAGAACTTTGGGAGCGGGTTTACAAGGCCGTGGTCTGATATGGATGGAACTGAACACGCGCTTGGATAGGGGGTCATTTGACCCCCCTCCCCCCCCGAAGGTTTTTCCGGCATGGTTTCCGAACAGCGCGGCGCGGCGGCGTCAAATTTTGCAAAGTTGTAAACGACTGGATAGTGGATCATTTCGCATAATAATTTATATGTATCTTGTAGGGTCGCTGATCTACAACAGGCCAGTCAGGTCATGGATTCAGCAGTCAGTGTCCAGGAATCTGTTCCATCTCATGCAGCAACGGAGTGTTAGATGAAGTCATACATCTCTGAGGTGCTTTCTTAGGCAACACATTGATTAAATGAACAAATGGCATTGATGTAGGGTAACGCATGACGGTCAGACCACGGTCAAATGTGTGCCATTGGGGCTTTACGGCGCACTCAGCTGCCGAGAATATATGGCGTCGACTGCCTCACTCTGGCAGGAAGGGCGGGCACCGCGGGGAATCGAACCCCGTACCTCTGGTTTCCCAGACGCGCAGCGGTCAGCACAGACGCGCTAACCACTACACTACCGGCACCTCATCCCTCCGCCCAATCTCTGGGGTGCTTTATTAGGCAACACATTAATTAAATGAACAAATGGCATTGACGTAGGGTCACGTATGAAGGTCAGACCGAAGTCAAATGTGTGTCATTGAGGCTTTACGGCGCACTCAGCTGCTGAGGATATATGGTGTCGACTGCCTCTCACCCTGGCAGGAAGGGCGGGCATCGCGGGGAATCGAACCCCGTACCTCTGGTTTCCCAGGCGCACAGTGGTCAGCACGGACGTGCTGACCACTACACTACCGGCACGCCGTCCCTCCCCCCCCCCCCCCCCCCCAGGTAAGATCAATCCAGTTTATTACTCTAGGGCTTGCTGTATGAGGTAGCTTCTGGTGCTCATTTCGAATTTATTGATAACAGGAGCCGCACTGCACATCTTCCATGGGCTTCCTAGACGCCTGAACAGGCCATTGACCTAAACTGACCCTGGTAAACATTTTGGTTTTGGGAACAAACTGCCTAGCGTAATCTTTGCAGCCTATTCAAATGCAAAACTCAAAGCAGTCTTGTATGATTTTGGTCACCATGAACTTCAAAAGGTCAAACAAGCCCACTGACCTTAAATCAGCATGTAACCTTTGGCTTAGATCAGATATCGAAGTTCTGGGGACACTCTGGAGGCCAACTTGGTGTTTAACCTTGTTTTATCTTCTTTGACCCAAAGATCACGACCTAGCAATCTTAAACTTTGACATAATTGAGTTCACGTACAAATCAACAGGCCCTGTGAGTTTGGTGCCGCTAGCTTCCTTAGTTCCTGAGATCTTACGGGGGGGGGGGGGGGACTGGCCCTCTCCCGAGCGAAGGGTTTCGCACTGGCCAACCGGGCGCCTGTTAACATTTGCAGATCAAGTGCAAGGGGGAGGTACGGCAAGGTGGTCAAAATTTCATTACGATGAACCGCACGGCTCTGGAAATGCTTTCGACACACCGGAGGGAGGCCCTCCCATCGTCGCCGCGGGGGTTAATAGCTGACATTTTGTGCAACATTATGTGCTTTTCAATATCGTTGTTGCATCGCAAAAACACTCACACTCAGTATATCACGAAGACTGGTAAAACGAAGATATCAAGCAGGATCGGCGTAAGCTGTTAAAATATTCCACGTCACATTGTTCCAGCATAAGAGCACATAACGTGAAAAAAAACAAGCACATCAGGCCTTTCTTACTTAAATCAAGCTTCAAAGTAATGTTATCTTAAGTGTCCTATTTGCGAAACCCCTTGGTGAACTTAATACACTCCGGGCGATGATCTCCTTACGCAGTGCTCTAATTGAATGAAATAAAACGGAATCCCCACGGCATCGGCTCTGACGACCCGCTGATCCCAACCGCATCATCTTCTGCCGGATCTGAGAGACGCATTTCTTTAATTATCACTGAAAGATCAACACGATAAATGATGAAACCCGTTTGAACTCTGGCGAAGCCCTGTCGTCGATACTGGGGTGCAAGGCACTTGCGAGCCTCGTGTTTACGTGAAATACACTTACTTTGTCATTCAGTTATCACATTCACCGTACGTGTCCTAAGATGCCTTACAGATACTGTACTGGACATGAAGCCTTGACGAGGGTGCAGTCTCCAATAATGGAACACAGCATATATACTGTTAAGCCCAGGTTGAATGCCAAATATTTAAAACTAAACAAACAGAAAAAGCATTCACATTACCAGCGAGCAAAGATTCGCCACTATTGTGGCCCTTCCCCTATGGCTAACACAGAATCAAATATATGCCATGCCAAGATGGCAATATTACATTGCTCAAATCATTATACAGGGCCTTAAAAAGCTTGCAGCATGTTTGCTTATCAATAAAACACGGTGATGTAACATCAAGCATTGTTCGCAAGGAGAGTTCTGAGGAACTGAATTAGCCAAACAGTTAGTGTTGAACATGCTGTCCCAAAATGGTTGGCATGAGGACTGTCTATAAATTATGCTATGCATTATTGACCATTTTCAACAGCCCTCACACTTGATAACACATTGGTTATGCTGGGCAAAAACCCCTTCTCCAGTTGCCTCAGGCTAAACTGAGCTAGAATTGTGGAGCATAGATGAACATGATGCTTGTCATGAGAGTGGACCAATGGTATCTGGCTTTGAGAATGTTGTTACGTGTTGTAGCACCCCACAAAGATGCACACTCTTTTGTTGTTATATGTCATAGCTGTGGTAAAGGAAACATGTAAGTTGGGTGAAGTAGTGGCATCACCTGAAGCGAAGCAAATGCTGACCTGAAAACAACTTTTAAGTACACCATATCAAATAAGACAGCAAAACAACAAAACTGAATACTGAGGCATTCTTTAAAATCTGTGAGGCACTGCAAGCAGTTCAATACTCTAACCTGGTGCAAGACATGAAGCCTGAGTCATAACAACTTTCTAAGCATGGATGATGTTTGGGGAAGGAAGAGCAATATGTGCCAGTACCTGTGACCAACACTGACAGAGGAGGGTGACAGAGCCTCAGCATGTTCTGGCTGCATACGATGACACGTAGGTAGGGGACAGCCATACTGTACACTCAGATGAGTAGGTGTAGGTGACCCTGAAATAAAATTCACCCATGGTCAGCTGCCATATCAATAAACAATCTTAGGCCTTCACTTTGGCACTCATACATGCTAGCACAATACAGGTACCAGGTGCATAGTTTAACAAAATGAGTGATGGGCTTAACAGTGAGAAATGACAAAACATCTCCAAAATGCACCAACAAATGGGCCCCTCCTCCCCATATTTATCCTGCTTTGTCCTTCAAGTTGGGGATCCTAGGTTGTGGGATGGGGCTGAAACCCTACCCCAACTGAACAGCAATCTACACCCTCAAATGAACCTACCCAGGATTTGCTTCAGGGGGGAGAAGGGAGGAATGTCATCTGTTCTCTGCACTCCAGCAACTTAGGACTAAATTCCAAAGAGCTTACCCCATACTTTGTGTAAACCTGTTAACTTGGTGGGCACAGGGCATGGCCCTAATGCCTTGCCCCCTGACCTGGTTACACCCCTGATAAAACAATACAAATGACAACACACTGTAAGATGTTGCTTTAATGCCCTGGACTAGCAGTCTGAGATAAGTGCCATGCCTACTCTAGTTGTCCCTGTTAAGAGTTTATACTGCCAGTCATTGCTCTTTGCAGAGGTCAACTGCTTGCACATCTAATTGCTGTGGGGCTAAAATCTAAAAACAAAGCTGTCCCTGTTGGGTTCACATGACCATTTTGTAAATGGCCATCTCAGGTATGATGGAATGGGGACTGCATGTCCATTCAATGTCTTTTGTCAATGTCAATGTCTGATATCCCCATTGTTTTTAGAGATCTTTGCAAAGGTCAACTGTTTGTGCACCTAACTGCAATGGGGCTCATACTTATTTGCCATGATCACACTCTGTGACTATTTGTTCCATTCAATTTCAAGGAAGTCTTAAGTCTATGACAGGCTAATAAACACATCTGTCCCTGCAACTTTCTCTGAGCCCTAGATGGATATGAGATTTCTCTCAGTGAACTTATCCACTGTTGTGGCTGTTGCAGATCCCAACAGAAGCAGCAGATTCAGGGCAATTATCAGAAGGAAGGGGGGAGGGGGTATTGGGAAGGGGGATGGAAGCTCAACTTCCAGCAGGGAAGCTTTGACATGTTAACACAGGGGTTCCCCTAACACAGGAAGACTGAACATCCCCATTTATTGGCTAAAGTTCTGGAGATGATGTGCTGTTAAAGTCTTGCGACCATTATGAAAACCTTGAGAGCGATGAATATTTCAAAAGTGCAGTTGTGGTGGACAACAGTTTAAATGGCAACAATGTGCCAAAAACTGATCTCAGCTGTCACCTCAACATTGTGCATGATGCAAAGAGTATATTACACTCTGCACAAATACAAATGCATGCATTGTGCAAAAGATTTAGCCAATCTTAGGACAGAATAATTTGACAGCAGATTGCTGATACCAAGATATATTTCTGGGACCAAGGAGGCAAATTCTCTGCTAAGCAGGACATGTCTGTGAAAGGAAGAAGTCTGTTCCCGAAGGTTCAGCTACACTATTGTGGGATTTCAAGGAGAAATCCACACACGACTTGACAAACACGCGCTTAAACACCACCTGCACACCACACCTTGTCTTGGATAAGGGCGCATAGCCTCCTGGGCTCTTTTTTGTGGGTCAATGCAGGCCTCTTTTTTCCCTCGACGCACCCAGTCACCTCCGAGGGGGGGAGGGGCGATTTACTTCCGGCAAAAGGCCAGGCAACGATTACGTTAAACCGGCTTATGCTGTTCTGCGCAAAGCAAGGGAGAGGGTATTTGTAAGTGACGTTACGTTAACCTGGCTCCTTTTTGTCCAGCAAGATCATAGCAAGTGTATCAGACCGCAGCAACAAATATATTTATTTAACGACCACATAACACGCATTCAACACGTTTGAACGACAAGTGAGCCTCCTCACCGGCCCTTCCGCCTTACTCCTGGGGTGCCGTGTGTCCTGTGTGGGATGTCCGTGTCAGCGATGGCCTTGGCTCAGCTGACTTCTCGGCGACCTATGCGATGGATGGATGCCAGCCCGCTTCATCGCAGCAACGGGGGGGGGGGGGGGTCAGCCCCGGTCTCCGTTGCTGCCCGGCACGACCTTGTGGTGTTGTGTGATGTTATTGAGTTCTCGAACGTCTTGACTAAGAAAAACCAGGACTCCTAGCCAGTAGGGGAAAAACCTGCAATCTTTGCTAAATTATGCAAGAAAAACCCCTTTATTCAAATGAATATATCTTATCCTGTACAGTGCAAAAACTCAAAGAGGAGAACGATCAAATCAGGATAAGAATCACCGAGGAGAGAATGGAGATTGAGTGGAAGCCGGTTAGCGTTGGTGTAAGTGATGAGCGGCTGCCTTGATCGTTGATATACCGGACACACGAGGAGGAAGTGATTTATTGCGAAGGGGATGCAGCGGCGATGACACAGCGGAGGAGGAGCGCGTTCGAAAAGGTGACAGTGGGTGATTTCGGAGTGACCGATACGCAGTCTGGCGAGCAGCACTTCCTTCAGGCGATGATCTTGATTAATTGTCGGCCAGTGCTGAAGTATGGGTTTGATTGGATGAAGGTGGTGATGAGCACGTTGATGCCATTCGGATTGGAGAAAGAGACGGAAAGGTAAATTGATAACTGCTAGAATATCAGAAATGGGACAATGAAGATAATTACGTTCCGGAAGCATGAGACTTCGTTTTGCTTCTTCGTCAGCAGTGCTGTTTCCATGAATATTTGCGTGTCCAGATATCCAGAGAATTAGTGCGTGCGTTTGCTGAGGAAGGGAGCAGAGCGTTCGTCGTATGCCGTTTAAAGTTGGGTGGGATGAATTATGGAGGGTGATGAGAGCTTGTAACGAAGAATGAGAGTCGGTGCATATGGCTGTCCTTTGTAGATTCCCTTGCTTGATGTAGAGCAGGGATTGCTGTTAGTTCAGCCGTATACACAGCATTGTAATTTGACAGCCAGTTTGATTTGTGGTAATTATGATGTACGAGGGCAGCTCTTGTGCGACCATCGCATCGGGAGCCGTCAGTATAAATAAAGGTCTGCTGGTCATATTCTCCTTTGAACTCAGCGAAGCGTGCATGCACTTCGGTTTCTGATACGTTTCGTTTCTTGCATTTAAACAACAAAATTACGTTAGGTATAGGGTCGCCCCAAAAAGGTCGGGGACTGGGAGTTGGGTTGCAGGGAGTGTCGGGGAGATTAAGCGCTCGCCGCGCTCGAATAACACGAGTGCTGATGGTTGGATGCTTGAGTTCCTCGTTGGTAAGTGTGCGGTTGGGGCGGAGGTGTTCGAGGGCGTTGTATGTGGGGTCACCAACGTGGCCTGTGGCGCGCGCGTAAAATCTGAGAAGTTGTAATTTTCGTCGGTGTGATAGGGAGGGGATATTCGTGTCCGCGAACATATTTGGGACTGGGGAGGTGCGAAATGCACCAGTCACTGTGCGGAGGGCTGCGTTTGGGATGGTCTCCAGGGTTTCGACTTTTTTGGAAGAAATAGTATAAAAAAGAAAGCCATTGTAGTCCAAGATCGGGGCGTATCAGGGAGGTATAGAGACGGGGAAGAGTGCGTCTGTCGGTGCCCCACTCCCGCCCTGCTATGCATTTCATTATGTTCAATCGTCTGGCACATCGTTACCTAAGGTCACCAAAATGAGCATTGAAAGCAAGACGACAATCTTATGTTATTCCAAGGTATTTAAAACTATCAACTACAGGGATTATTTCACCATTAAGATTCAGGGGTGGGGGGGGGGGAGATTGAACATTATTTCGCCTAGAGAAGATGATTACAGCTGACTGTGGGGGAAATCTGCAGTCCCTACCGTGCACACCAGACGTGAATATCATTTACAGCTAATTGTATATAATGCAGCGCGCGATCGACATTAGCATGCGTATGCCACACAGCGAGGTCGTTCGCGTATAAAGAATACTGAAAATGTGTAAAAATATTATTAATATTGAAAACATCATTTATCATCACAAGGAAGAAGGTTGGAGATAAGACACTGCCCTGAGGAAGGCCGTGGTCCTGCGTCGTCGGAGAAGAATAAGTATTTCCGCAACGCACAGAAAACGTCCTATCAGTTAGGAAGTTTTTCATGAAAGCGGCGAGCCAGCCACGAACTCCGATTTCATGTGGTTTAATCAGGAGGGCACTTTATTCACCCTGTCGAAAGCGGCCTTTTAATCCATGAATAGTGCTACTGTAGAAGATTTAGTCTGAAATCCGAGCTGAACTGAAGCTATAATGTGGACCAGGCTGTCCGCCGTAGAGCGGCTGGGACGAAAGCCGTTCTGAAAAGGTGAAAGAAGGTGATTTGACTCAAGGAACACCCTGATACGTCCGTTGAACATTTATTCGAATATTTTAGAAGCACAGCTAGTAAGTGAGGTGGGGCGATAGTTCGAAGGGTCAGAGGGAGGCTTATAAGGCTTAAGTATAGGGATAAGTGCGCTAGAGCGCCATGAGTGTGCGAGTACCGAGTATAGCGCGCGAGTAGTAGTACCTAGACCGAACGGCAGATGGCAGAGCGTCTCGCGGAGTACAGAAGTGCAATCTAGTTCCGACCGCCGACTCGTGTGCACCTTTGCGGAGACAGACTCGAACAATGAGGGAGGGAAGGAGCCGTTAACCCACATATCGTTGAAAGCCGACAGAAGGTTGGTGAGTCCAGACCTAGTAAGATTTCTAAAGAAGGGGTAGGCTAAATGGTCTGGACCGACAGAAGTGTTTCCGCTCTTACTGATCGCAGGGTCCAATTCATAGGGTGTGAAGAGTACGGTGCATGTCTCAGTGTTAGCAGACGTGAAGTTGAGTGCGAGCAGTGTGGCATTAAGTGTGTTAGCGATCTGTTGGGAATGCTGCTCGGATGATGCTACACGGGCGAAGTGTGCAGCAAATTTTGTGGCGACTTCGAATGGGATGCTGTAGTGTTGTTTGCTGACTACAAGGTGCGGGGTTTTATAATGTGGCGTGCGCTTGTTTGTGGAAACCGAATCAGTGACCATATTTTAAATAGAGGGGTAAAGCAATTGAACGTATTTGAAGATTGCTCCCAGCGTACCTGTTTTGCGCGTTTAATGATTAAATCGACTCGATGCTCTGCGAAACTCCTCTTCATGAGCTCTGCAAATGCAATTACGAAAGGCACGCATAGCCCGGCGTCACAGGGCTACTGCGCGCTGACACTCATCGTTCCACCAGGGCGCACGTTTGTGCTCTGGTCGACGATGAGTGTGTGGAACGAACTGGTGCGCTGAGGCCAAAATAGTGTTTAGAAATGTAGGGAGGTCGGGAGTTGTGCCTGAAGGGTGTGCCTCATCTATATAATTTTGGAAAGATGCCCAGTCCTCTCTGCGAACATTCCATCGGGGAAGAAAATAGAAGTATTTGCCCTGATGGGACTTCTAAATTTATGCGGATCGGGTAGTGGTCACTAAAAGCGTGTCTGATTGAACATTGTGCGTAAAGAGTAGTGCTATGCGGGGTGTTGTTGGGGCTAGATCTATAACGGAGCATGTCACTGTGCCTCCGTGGTGATGTGCATGCGTAGGTGTCAGTTCGTTGATACATATGAGGTCATGAGTGTCCATGAGTGTGTGTAAAACTCCCCCTCCCCTTGTTTGTGTCGTGCTACAACCCCATGCACGATGATGGGCGTTCAGATCCCCAAGAAGGAGGCAGGACGAGGGAATCTGTGCGAGTAAGGCGGAGAGATCAGCTAAGGAGACAGGGCTAGTGGGGCTAACGTATGTAGAAAAAAAAGTAAGATCTAGCTGTGCTAATTTTACGTTTATTGCAACTGAATTGAAATTAGTATTAAAATGAACTTGACGATGCAAAAGGTTATTTGAGACAAGCAAGGCCGAACCGTCTCGGCGCAGGGTTTCGTTGACGCTATGTGTGTAGAGGCAATAACTCTTGAAGCTATAATTTTTAAAAAAATCTGAGTTGTTAAATAAGGTCTCTTGAATGGCGGCTATCAATGGTTTGTTTTTGATCATATATTCCTTGAATTCTGCCCAATGGGATGCCAGAGATCTCGTATTCCATTGGAGCAAGAATTCACCGAACTGGGGATTCATTTAGGGCAGGGAGGGAGACCATCCAGCGGAGCGGCAGTGAGAGAGCGATCGCGGGGCGCGACGACGGGAGCGCGTAACGGGTCAGGCTCGGCGTTCGACTGAGGGACTGGCCCGGGGGGTTGGAGTCGGGAGCGCGGCGGGTGAGGCATCGAATGGGGCTTCTTGGGACGCCGGTGCGGGTGGAGTGGACCAACACCGACGTGTTGGGGTGGGAGAGAGGCTCTCCGAGTTTGGTGGGGTGAGTCTCTGCTCGGAGAGGCTCGCAGCTGCCGGGTTCGCGGTAACTGGGTTGGATGGCGCGGGCTCGATCGTACGCAGCACTGGGCGCGGCTGACCTGCTGGGGAGGGGCGGCGTGCTGAGGAGGAGCGTTGGGTGGGCTAGGGCACAACACTGGTTCGATACCTCGGGCTCCTCAACAGGACGCGGAGGAGGGAGGGGGCGCCGCCGCGGAGCTGGTGTTAGAGGGGGAGGATGAGAGTACGCCTCCCGCGGTGTGGGCCACTCCTGAGGCTGGAGCACTCAGACGGGTGCATAGGCCGCTGCCGCTGCCTGCTGCTGGCGCTCGCGCAGCGCCTCGCGCTGCACATGCCAAGCGGGACTGGCGCGGTGGTCCCCAGCTGCGTGCGGACCTTTACATGTGACGCAGCGCGAGTTTTCCGCGTCACACTCCCGCGTGTGATGAGGGTCGGCGCAGCGGCCGCAGGTCGGGCGCGCAGCTCGGCAGGTCCGGTCAGTGTGGCCGAACCGTTGGCACGTGCGACACTGCTGGGAAGGGACCCTGGCCTTTACCGGGACCATGAGGTATCCGCGGTGGATGGCACGTGGGAGCTTTAGCCCCCTAAATCGCAGGCGGACGAGTGGGTTGGGGCCCAGGCCGGGACGGCGGGAGGACAGGCGAGTAACCTCGCACACCCTTTGCTCGGTCAGCTCCTCTAGTAGCTTGTCATCCGACAGCTCGGTGAGCTCCGGGCTGTAGACGACCGCCTGGATGGTGTTCAGGCGGTCTGCGATGGTGGCCCCAGAAAAACTGCTCTTGAGCAGGGCCTCTGCCTGACCCTCCGAAAAACTGTAATTAGTAGAGCTCCCGAGCGCAGCGGTTTGGCTCCATCCACTTCGCCGGTGTGGAGCTCGAGCTCCCGACGGATGACAAAAGGGTTGGTCGTGCGGAAACTCTTTCCGTCGACGTTTCTGATGAGCATGAAGCTCGGTCCCTCCGGAGGGGAAGTGGAGGGGGGTAGACAAGCCCCTCGCCAGGCCGGTCGCCGGAGGGGAGATGTTGATGACATCTTGGGTCTTAACCTTAAACGTAGCTTAAATTAACTTATGGACTGGTTATTACGACTTAAAACTAAATAACACAACCCCGACACACATTCGGCTGTCGTCAGCACAAGTGCAGATCAGCTACCTGCCCAGTCGTCCTTACAGCGGCTGGCAGGTGGCAGCACTTCCCGGTGGCGGGAAGGGGCGGAGCCTAAATTAAGGCGTGAGCACGGGACGCCGAAGGAGAAATATCCTAATTACTGTTTTGAAGTTAAGATAGGCGAGACGGAATATAATGAACGCTACCAGGGCAATGTGTGATGGAATCTTAACAAAAGCACCACCACCACATTGCCCCACAACGACAGAAAACCAACGCAGAAACAGCAATCTGAAACACGACCGCCGCGAATCACGCCGCAAAGAACCGTGCGGCCGCCTGGGCTTAAGCGTCCGTCTCAGTTGTTTGCGTTGCGTCCCTTTTGTATTTAGACCTTCCTCGCAGCTTTCTTTTGGTATACTGTGGAGACTAAGCATGGTAGAGGAACATGGAAGATTTAGCCGCGGGATGGATCCTGGGGCAAAGGATGCATTAATACTCAGTAGTTAATAATATATCCAGCTACAGAATTAGGAGTCACTGTGTCTACAAACAAGTTAACTACTCATTTATACCACCAACCCTGATAGTCTTTCAGCCTGTTGGCCTGTTAGCCTTGTACCAACCCAACCCGTGTTATAATCATCATACATGCAAAAATCGTACATTCTGATGAGGCTTAACTGTTCCATGACTCACTGCTCATTCCAGAAATGTGTGCGAATATCAAAATGACGGATAATTTCTTCTCAGTCCAACGGGGAACCGCCAGCCGCACGCCACCAAGACATTCCCACTATTCAAACTAATGGGTTGTGTAACAGTCAGCTGGCTAACTGACAGGGCTCCATACCACTGACGTCATCAAGTATGGTATACTTGACGTCATGCAGGCTATGCTTCCAAACTACCCTCTTTTCTCAAGCAAGCTCTATGTTGCCCCTTTTTTGGGGCCGGACGGTTCTACCTCGTTAGATAGCCTTGCACCAACCCTGGCCGCGTTTCTTTTGTCGCGGTTGTTCCATATTTGCCCTAGTGGTAGGCCAGCGCATTCATTCCGGTAGACTACAAACGCCACTGGTGAAGAAAATCTGCTGGGAGGGTACCAAGTAAGAGCCAGTTTTCTCGCTGGGCTTATACGCCCACGAGATGGGTGTACCTTACGCTCATTATTTCCTCGCGTGTCAAACTTGTCATTTCCTGTCGAATGCTGTCAAGTTTTTTTATTTTTTGTTTTGTTGGTTGTTTGTTGTCGACATGCGACGTGGAACATGCAAGTTAGAATTTGGCTACGGTTGTGGACAACCGTTGCCATATTTAGGAAAGCTCGAATTGGACACCATTCGATTGGAAACCTCGAAGTTAGACATCGCGGAAAATTTGAATGAAAACAAGGTACTTCTTTCAGAGTGAGAGTGCAAGTGTAACTGTCTAGGCAATTCGGGGACAACCCAGAAGACCTATGCCCACTGGACCTACGCTCACGAGGCCTACGCTCGCTGGACTTACGCTCACTAGACCACACACGCCCAGGAGGCATACGACGACGTGATGTCCACATTATCGAATCGCTGTTGGCGGGCCCGTCACCACCTACCGTGGAGAGGGTAAACGAAATCTGATATTAAAGGTAAAGGTACCAGATAGCGTTGTCCGCCGCTGCTCCAGGGGTGTCCATTGCACCTTAGTACCGTTACGGAACAAAGGTCGTGGAGAGAGAGAGAGAGAGAGAGAGAGAGAGAGAGAGAGAGAGAGAGAAGAGAGAGAGAGAGAGAGAGAGAGAGAGAGAGAGAGAGAGAGAGAGAGAGAGAGAGAGAG